AGCCGTATTTTTCACTAGGAACCCAAGGGACAAGTAATAACAATGATAAACACTATTTCTTGTACTTTCAATAATTATCAGTTCGGCTATGCCTGTAAACTAGTATCTCTCATGTTAAATCCATTATATGAGGGTGAGGATTATTATTATCCCAACTATGACGCTCCTCATACTCTGGAAAGTGCTATTTTCCTGTTCCTCTCATAACTAGCAGGATCTTCTAATATTTCTAATAGATTTTAATGACACCCTCTGTGCCGTTCTGATCTCATAAAATCTTGTTTATTTCTCGACACATATCAATGCGATGCTGCCTATAAACTGGCCTTTCTCATGTTAACCCACTAATATGAAGATAAAACGTTTATTCATTTACTCAGTCAGTACTCGGGCACTAGGCACCACGAAACAGAATACTCCTCAGTCATAAATTACTGTGACCTAGGCCTGCAGGAGGTCGGTCGTGGCCCAAATACCTCAGTAGCAGCTTCTCTGGGTGCGAAACTGGGTGGGGTGGGCTTGAGTCCCAAGTAAGATTGTAGTTCTGTCGAGGCTGTAGATGCGCCCAGCTGATGCGTGCCAAAAGGCATGGAACCATGATTCAAGGTTTTTTGCCGACCGCTTCCAGCCAAATAAAGAGGCGGTGGTTTGCTGGTTACTTTTCTGTGGTGTGAGACATCACATCACGCATTTGTTCTGAAGGGTTAGTAGGGCGACTCGGTTGATTTGGAACAGTGTAAAAGCAGTTTTGGCCAACTTTCCGTTGCACGGCTACCACTGAATAAAGGTACTTAGTCTCCTGTTTTATATTCTTGGATATTGCAATGACGTGAGTTGCACTATGTCGTAATGTTTGCTTATAGTACCTGTGGGTTTGGAATGGATTAGCCTTGCAATCCCTGGCTGCTGGGGTTTTCGAGTTTGAGGTAAATGGAGTGATTAAAGTGGGGGGAAATCTATGAGGCACCTACGAAGTAGTTTGCGGGCCTGGTCGTCAATAGTTAGCACTCTCATATTTTCATGTGATGAGCCAGCTAACAAACTGCACTGTATCTTCCTAAAGTCTTTAAAAGAGGAGTAGCCGAAGTCACTGCATCCTGGCATTCCCGGGGAGAAGACTAAACGGTCAGTGGGTAGTCAAACAGAAAACCAAAATCTGTAGTTGGACGCTCTTAAAAACAGAGTTACGTTGCAGTTCAGGCTTCCCATTTATACGATGTCTTCAAATATGTGGCACCAGGCGTACTACGGCGTTTTCTGTCATGGACATTTTCACGAGGCGAACTTCAAAGTTATGTGGCAACCGGACTCGTAACTTCGAAACCTTTATTCCGTTAGCTTCGTGGATCAGCTCATTTCTTGAAACGCACACAGCAAACCCTGAGAGTTCAAGATTAAATAAATCAAAAATATGAAAAAGTGTTGTCTGCAATAAAAATGGTAGGAATGAGTATAACCCAGATGTTAGTAACCAGCTATGTTTCAGACAACTTCGGTGGTGAACTTGTACATGAAGCAATTAAGACTGTGATTTACTTGGGACATAGTAACTATCCAAAGTAGAAATTGTCATCAAATACATATGCACACAAACGTTGAGTGACTTGTTAAGAATTAATGCCATTATCAATGGTGGCAAGCTACCAAACATGACTTCCAACGAAGTACGAACAACTGCGATGAGTAATCAGCGTATGTATGCAGATTCCGCACTTTCTGAGACAAAGTATGACAAGTTAGAACCCGAATTTATGAAATCCTGAAGCTCCAGAAAAACAGTGGAATGGTATCTAATTTGTTGGCCCATTTAGGACCGTTAATCGTCCTTATTTGCCATCCATTCACCACCATAATGGTGATGTTCATTTCTAAATATACAGGCAGACAACATTTTTACGGGTATCAACAGGCTTCTATGAAAGTTTCACGTCCCTTTGAGTCAGGCATCCAAATCCCCATCCATTCAGCCACCAGAAGATATGTATTGCATGGCAATAAAGTGGAGCATGGCAGCAGAGCAACTGGGAACAAACTGGCATGATGGATAACTGGAATTATTTGCTTCACGATGACAATAAATCCACACTTTTTGTCGGGCACTACGTGCATTATCTGGTAAAATATAAAGCTTGAAGCCGACACTTTCATCGCCAGGCTTGTTATATCCTGCTTCCTGATAACATTGAGAAGTTCCCAAACGAATAAGTGCATGTTATTCGTCATTTTTTGTTCATTAGTGCATGAAGAGCTATGTACCTCATGGATTTTCCTACCGGTTCTCACCAAAGATTAATAATCTGGCTGGATATTACCACTGTCAGCTAAATAACTTTACTTTCCACTCCAGCATCAAAGTGCATTAGGTTGGTTTGAAGAGACAGGGATATAGAACAAATCATAGATAAACCCTGCATACAGTTGTATTGACTCAAGTCACCACACTTCACAGCAGTACACAGAGAATAGAGGTCTGAAAAATGAGTGATACCAAAGTGGAAAAATTAGTATGAAAATAAACAATTTGAAGATAACGGTTAGTGCGAACGTTCAAGCGCTAGAGGGAGTCGAAGACTGAATAATCCTGCACCAGTGTGACTGATTTTTAGCTATGCCACAATTAGTCCTCAAACACTGACTTCTATCGTCTCACAGACTCCGCCAGACAAGCAGTTCTAAGGGCTTCATCGCTCCTGGTTCTGTTTCCTCACTGGTGAAGAAACTTGTTGAATCTGGACATTTAAAGGCTGGTCAAACACTCGGTCACCCTGCCTACTGCTGGAGTTATGGGTCTTGGTACTGGTATTTGCTGTCTGTAGCAATGTGTGGGATTTGGACTCTGAGATTTCCAAGATGAGGTTATTGGTTGAAGGTGATCGTTGTGGTGTGACTATCTGAGTCGTATGATTCACAGAATGCATGCAAGATAATGAGACCCCTTCTGAGGAGCTCAACTCAATTCAGAGGGTCAGATTACAGGGATAAAGCGACAATTTTGCCTTTACACCTCTTTTCTATTGAAAGCGCATACGATTCTCTCCGCAAAACTGCAGCCAGAGGTGTACCCGTGTTCAGCATGAGATTTCGTGGAGATCGCCGTCTGGCTGGAATTTTGCATCGCTCCCATGAACCCCTTTGAGGTTTTTAAGAACGAAACACAATACATCGAGGAAGTTCAGGATTTTCGCCGCCGTCAGGTCCTCATTACGGTTGATATCAACTTCCCTCAACTCTTCACCAATATAAATTTGTCTCTTACCAGAGAACTTCAGGAATTATTGCCGGGAAACTTTGTGACTAAACACGTCTCTGAACATGCTTTCTGAGGGTCTGACGGTAAGACATCCGACAAGATTACTTTTTTACCAACACGACCGCTAGTATATGCAACTCAGACGTTCTTAGCATTCTTGAACTGCTTGAATATGGGCTTTTTTTCAGCATTTCCATATCTATGTCGTCTGTCTCTGAACAAGAACCAGCCAGGAACTATACGAAAACTGATTGTAGAAAGGCCAAGCAAGATATCGAAGGTTCTTCTGGGCTAAATTTAGGTGATTCATGATCTGGACACCAGATGTGAGTTGTGATTCTTTACACGATTTGTGAGGAAACCCTGACATTTCCATGACGAAACAAAAAGACTTACCTTTTCTGGCTGAAGTTAAGCACCCGCAGGCTTATCGGCCTGGAGTCGGTGCACGGTTAATAACGGCACGGACGACTGTAAAAATTACAAGGACCTCCATAACACATGCAAACTTAACATCAGAGGGGGTGAAGTAAATTACCAGATAAACCTGAGTAAAACACTGGATGGGGAGAACGGGGCAGTGTAATTATCATTGAAAAGTACGGATGAATTTTCATTTTGTACGCAGTACACCAGTAGTTTAGTGTGCCACCGCTATCTAACTAGTCCAGGAATTCCAAATTAACTTGAGTCAAGTAGGAGGGATAACCATACCCCAGGCACGCACTTGAACTTTTCAGGAATTACGTTGAGCAGAATTTTGACCTCTTAAGATCAGAGGAGAAGTAAAGAGCTTTAGGTTTAATAAATCCTCAGGAACCGATGGCATTCACCGGGCAACGCTCAAAAGTGCTCTAAGGTTCAGGTTGTTCCTCTAGCAAACCTCTCAAGACGTTTGTCTCTAAAAGGTTGGTTACCCTCTGAATAGGAGCCAGTGGCAGTCATCCTAGTGCGTAAATGCATAAAGCAAGTTATTTCTGCATATGGCAGACTAGTCTGACAGGTATTTTTGGTTGCAAAGGTTATGGAAAGAGTAGTATAGGACCCATTTCATGACCACTCATTTTGGTTCTCAATCTCAGATACGTGAAAACGCCGGACTTTCACCTTAGGGATTATGTAGGAACAACCCATAGTTAGTATGGAATACCTTTTGAGCAGAAAGCCTCATTCTCATAGGGTTGCTTTCCGTCTCTAAAGTCTCTAAGAGGGATAGTCATATATGTGAGAAACTTCAGCTTATGGGGGTAGACGGGAGGTTGTTTAGTTAGCTTAGGGATTAACCTAATAGTCAGTTATAATCAGTCAAAATAGACTCCTTGTTTTCTAAATGGTTCCTGACACCAAATAGGGTGCCTCGATAGTTAAATTCTCCGTCCACTCTATTCCTCGCCCCTACGGATGACTTATCTGCAACCCCTGTTATATCCCGACAACCTGTGGATTCGGAGGGAAATATGGCTGCTAACGGATGCAGGATTTTAACATGAACCCTCCGCTGGTCGTACGCATAAGGGGTGGCAGTATCACGCATAAAAAGGCGACTAATTTATAATGAAATATCTCCTTTCCTGGCTTTCCAGGACTGGAAGAACAACTGCTACCATTCCAAGCCAAGCAAGCATTTCATTAGGACGAATTCAAAGCCAAAGGAACTATTGTCAAATACTTCTACAACATAAAATTTGAAGTTGGAACTAAGTTTCGCAGATCGAGGTAAGTGACCTTAAGGACAGTAGACACGCGTTACAAATTAGGTAGAACGGCGGGACTTATAAAGTTGCTTTGCATAGTTGTGTATTTGTAGGCTTATCTATGGTTTGGAACGGAAAGTCTCTTCGCAATTTTGATGCGTTTGCAAAACCACTCAAGGATTTCCGCGTGAAAACACTCTCAGGAGCAATAGGTACATAGTTTGTATTTCTCAAAAATAAACTTTCAATTGGGTTTATCAGTCTCAATTTTGAGTAGTTTCATAATCGGCATTTTATTCACATCGGAACTGCTCTCATTTATGCACCCTCAAAGTAAACAGGAGATAATTGTAGACGTTAACCGTGGAGAGCAGATGTCTATTTATTTGGATATAACTCTGAACCATATACCCTGCTCACGTGAGATTCACATTTGTTTGTTTTTCATCTAAAATTAGTCCTTCGATTAGACACAATGGATACAACGGGTGCTCAGCAGCTGAACGTTATGCATGAAATGTTTAAAACCAGTGTTTCACCTGACGGGACTCCCCTTTCGGATAGCGTTCGTCATAGTAAGATAATATAAAATAAATGTCACTTTAGCTGTCAATGATCCTTCGGCTATCGAAACGGCAAAAGACCCTAACTACTGTGGTTCTTGTTATGGGGCAGCTTCTCCTAAAAGAAAGTGAGTGTTTGGGATACATTGAAATACATTTTATTGTGAAGTATGGGTTTTATTAACTTTATTTCTGAGCATACCTTGTAGTCCTGAGTATTTTCCTACCTTGTCTGATATTCTGTTGTACTGCCGCTTAAAAGAATGAACCTTTTAAGTTTCACTTAGGGGTGGTTATAGACCAGCATACCTATTCATTTGATAATTACTCTGGTTTGTCGCATTATCAGCCTAGTGTGAAAATATTGGGTGGTGCAATGATACCTTCGGTATATTTGCGACAGTATTGAATTTGAATTTTTGGGTATTCGCCACTTTATTTGACATGATATTTTCCGGTTTACGAGGGTAGTGTTCAGCCAGAATCAAAGGGACACCCCTAAACGTTGACCTATATATATTCTCAATCGAGATGTATTTCAATCAAAACTGTTGGCTTTAAAAACTAATTATTGCTTTAAGGTCGCCAAGTCCTTTTTCATTGGTGTGTTGTATTGTGAGCATTTGTTTTCTGTTCGACCACATCTAGTTATTCAAGTGTTAAGAACCAAGTGTAAGTACATATATCACCAGTCATTAAACTTCATTGTATGGGTGGTACATAATTAGCAAGCCTGTGTCATCTGAACCAGGCAGTAACAGGTAAGTTATATTAGAGTTCAAGTGACAGATAAATATTTCTCTACAATATAACTAGTTGGGCCGCTAGGTGTTTCTTTTAAGTTTTCGGGAAAGTGTTTAAAATATTTAAACCATTGATATTTTTAAATAGAGATGGTGAACAAGTTGCCTACATATTTCAGTAATGAAGTATAAAGATCCTCAATGTCCGTCTGACAGAAAAACAATGTTTGGGAGTGGCAACAACTTACTGTTGTAAGAAAAGCTATGAAGGCCAATAGCTTACTTATTTCATCAAAGTTACAAAAGCAATGGAACGTTGAGGATTTGTTTAAATGTTTAATCTGTTTAGTGTAACACTGTTTGCTTGTTGCTACGTGGTTGAAACGTCAGGAAAAATTTAGGAGAAGTGTTTAGTGGACTTAATTGACTGGTAGGAAATATAGGTAGTGTGCAGATATGGTTAGAGCACTTCAAGATGCACCACCGACTTCTATCGGCTGTCGCTTCATACACTCAAGTAGATCCAGACGTGATTTCATGCAGATCTGTATATCACTGTTTGGTATTCAAAATTCGTACTGTGCCATCGGGGTTTGTCGAGTTTAAACCTTATCTGAATATTTCTTCAAGTTGGAAGACTAGAAAGACTAGAAAGTATGTATTTACTAAGTGGTTATACATTCAATATTTGAGCTCCGCCAGATTAGAAATTCTGTTTCTTATAAAGACTAGTTTGCTCATTAGTGCACTTGCAGCTCTAGAATACGGATATGGTACTTTCTGTACACCCTTTTAATCACAGATAAGTTTTTTGAAATACAAGTATTTGCCATCAGCATATGATCTTAGATCATATAAAACTCTTAATTTTCTGTTTCAGTTTGATTACTTATCAAGATGCTCAAAGAGCCGTACCATATGTATTAGTCAAACTTTGCGAAGTTGGTACTCAAAGAAAAGTACATTAAGAGGTTTCTGCCCTCCACTAAACCAATATAAAATTTCCAATTTTTATGCATTCTATAATGTAATAACATGTCATAAAATTAACTTTGATCATATTATCATTTACGGTGTTCACAAATCAGAAACTTTTGGTATTTGTATCTGTTCTTATGTACTTAATCAAAATTCCCTGGAAAACAATAAGCGAATGAGGTCAAGCTTAACCTGCTTTCATACCACTTACACAAACTGGTAATCAAATCGAAAACCTTAAAAACTTTGCCTATATGGACTCGCAAACTTAAATTTGTAGTCCATGTACTTGGAGCAAAGTGACTTATTGGCTTCAATAGTCGACTATAGGCCATCAGAAAATGGATTTAAGTCCACTTTCCCTGCTGTAACTTGAGTAAGTGGGTAATGTAATGAAAATTGTAAAATCAGAGGCAACAAGGAAACTAAATGTAAGAAAGGAGGTAAAAAAAAATATAAAAGACACCAAGCTCATCAAAGTTAAAATTTGTATGTCATCGCCATAGATTTTAAGCTATACTCTGCAAAGTCTCACCATCAATTTGGGCTGTCTCGCTAGCCCTGGACAGAAGTCTACAGTTCACTACTCTACCATCACCGATAGTCGGAGGACTCCGAGATGGACACTATTCCTTGGCCTAGCAAGCGTGGGTTTTTCTGTTCCCGCCTCAGTTGAAATTGTGCACTGAGGTAAGCCCTCCTAAATGTGCCACGTCTACTAGCTGTATTACTGTTTGGTTCATTGTTTAGTAGCAGATTAAAGATGCTAGGTACCAGGTCACTAATAGTGGTACAAGTTAGTTCCACCCAAAAAGGATGTGACTTACTTATGGTTTTAATAAGTGTTTCTTATTTGATTGAAAAAGGAGGCATCAGCACATGATTCGGAATTACTGCGTAATGGTCCAAGTTGCCACACCAACGTACTGGACGAAATAAAGTTAACTAGTTCACTAGTTACCAGCTGGTCCTAAGCCCGGATAGAGAGGGAAGATTAGGTATAGGGCTAGAAATCCTACCCCGTAAAACTAATCCAATCGCTGAAGAAACTTCAAAGCACAAAGGAAATACAAAAAACAAAAATGAACTTATCCCTCGATGGAATCGGTGGAACAAAATGACCCCGGTTGGTGAAAGCCTTCGGGAAGCCAATCGGCCGATGTGTCTTCTCTTCTCTCGATGAAAGCAAAAGTAAACATGGGGACATGGAATGTCTGCACGAAGTTTGAAGATGGCTGGCAAGGCTGTCCAGATTGTCAAAGAGATGAGGAGGTATGGCATGGAAGTGCTTGGAATCTGCGAAAGCAGATGGAATGGAAGTGGACTCTCCAAACTGTCAACTGGAGAGGAGTCAATAATCTACTCGGATCACCCAGACGAGGAATTATTCAGACAACTGCGATCACTACTGGACAAAACTCCAGTTGCGACATCAAAATTCTAATGGGCGACATGAATGGCAAACTGGGAGCGGACAACACAGTAAGAGAACTGATCATTGTTTCAAGAATCACTCTGTGAAATGATGAATGAGAACGGAGAACTGTTTGCAGATTTCTGCGCATTCAACGATTTGCTGATTGGAGGCAGTGTGTACAAACACAAGGATATTCACAAAGCGACATGGACTTCACCAGATGGACACACTAAAAATCAGATCGACTTCATCTCAATCTAAAGAAAGTGGAGACGCAGCCTACTGGACACAAGATCAGATCAAGAAGTAAAGCAGATGCAGGTTCACACCACTCACTATTTATTGCAAGAAACCTGTCTTCAAAATCAAGTTGAAAGCCTTCACAGAAGTTGGCGAGAGGCCACAGTTCATGTTCAACACCCAGAACAGAAGCTGAAGGACGAAACTTCAAGGGACATCACGTCAGCTATCAGGAAAAAATAGGAGACACTAAGCAACATCCCCGAGGAAACCTGCGTGGTAGAACGTAGGAACTCTTTGTAAGAGATGTAGAAGGAGACCGGCATAACCGTGTTAGAAAAGAAGAAGAAGCAAGACATAGAATGGATTTCCACGGACTCATGGAAACTGATACAGAAGGGAGAGGAAGATAGTGAAGCAGAAGATGAATCAGTGAAGTGCAGGGATGAACAACGAAAAGAGGACCTGAGTACAACGCATAAAACACTGGACAAGAAGCATGCCCGGAAAAACAAAATGCACTTCTACGACACACTTGCAAGTGAAGCAGAACAGGCTGCAGGTAGGAAAGACCTGACAACACTATATCAAATAACCAGGCTACTACCTGGGAAGATATCAACGCAGGCGAAACCAATGAAAGATAGTGAAGGAAACTTAATTACCGCCAAAGAGGAGAAACAAACGAAGCAATGGGCCGACCACTTCAAAAAGCTCTTGAATCGACCACCACCATCACCACCACTAGAAATACCACCAGCGGCCCAGCCACAGAACTATCAGTGAACACAAGCCCTCCGGCAAAAGCAGGAATGAAGTCCTGAACGACATGAAGTTGCTGAGACCCGGGAAAGCAGCAGAATCAGATGAAGTCCCGCCAGAAGCACTAAAAACGGACGCAGAGACAACAGCGGACATGCTCATACCACTATTGTAGAAGGCTTCGAAGGAAGGAAGGAAAGGTACCTGCCCACTGATTGGAAGATGGGCTACCTTTCCAAACTCCCAAACAAGGGAGACCTAAGTCTTTTCAAGAAGTGGTGCGGAATCATGCTCCTGTCACTGTCAACCCCAAGCAAGCAAAATATTATGCCACATCATACTGGAAAGACTAAAAGATGCTCTGGATTCAAAATTACGACCGGAACAGTCTAGCTGGCTGCCTTCAGGAAGAACAAATCATGTGCGGATCAAATTGCGAAGCAACACTACGCGTCATCACAGAACAGAGCATAGAATGGCAGCCAACTCTACCTCAACTTCATCAACTTTGAAAAGGTCTTCGACAGCGTCAATCGAGAGGTAATTTGACAGCTGCTTCAACACTACAGTTTCAGTGCCACAAACCTTTATCAACCTCATTTAGCAGCTATATGACGACGCCACATGCCAAGTGATTCACAATGGAAAGCTCAGTGACACCTTTGAAATGAAGACAGTGGACAGGAGTAAGGCAAAGCCGCTGCCTACTTTCACCGATGATTTTCCTGATTGTGGTGGACTGAATCATGCAGCAAACCGTGAGGAGGGAGAAGGTGGGCACACACTGGCTGGATCGATGAAAAGAGCCTAGGAGATTTGGATTTCACCGCCGATGATGATTTATGTTTAATGACGCACAAACTGGAAGATGTACGGGCAAAAACTAACAAGTTGTTGACAGAAGAGGCGAGGCAGCGAAGGAAGACAGGACTTCCTCCAGGTGAACGTAGAGAAGACAGAGGTGATGAAGATACCCAACCAACAACAACAAGCACCAATCACCATGAAGGGGAGAAACCTAAAAGAAGTAGTCTCTTCCACCTACACCTACTTAGGCAAGGCTTCATCGTTTCAACTACAGGTGTCACAGGCGCACATACGAGGGTGTCAAAGCAGCCAGGATTGGAAAGACAGCAAAACAGGCCTTCCTGCACTAACCTGAAGTCAGTGTGGAGATCTACTGCACTCAGCATAAAGCGTGAATAAGATCGGGATTTTCAACACTAATATCAGTCAAGTCAGTGCCTCAGAGACTTGTTGCGTTACGAAAGGGATTTCCAACAAACTACAGACATTCGTCAACAACTGCCTACGCTCGATACTGATACTGAACATCAGATGGCCAGAATAATAAGAATAATCAATAAGGAACTCTGGCTGGTTGGCAACGAACCAACCGAGAACCCATCGCCCAACAAATATGCAGCTGAAGAAAGTGGAGATGGATTGCATTGGATTGGACATAGACTGAGAAGACCGATTGGGGGACATCACGCGCCAGGCCCTCGGGTAGAATTTAGATGGGAAACGAGTTGGGCGTCTGAGGGTGACATGAAGGAGATGGTGTGAGGAAGAAATCAAAGCTTCTTGGCGGTGGTGTGGCCGGATTAAGAAGACTGCAGAGAAGAGAGTGAAATAGGGACGTGCTACTGAAGCCGTATTTTTCACTAGGAACCCAAGGGACAAATGGGAAACAATGATAAGTCATATAAAGCTACAAAAGAGGTAAAGGATTAGAAACCGGTAAGGAAATACGGCATAAATAATTCCAATGATGGTATGGATGCTTCTATGTCACTCTTATTGGTTCTCATGCATGTCACTTTGTCTTCGACGACCGTTTTTAGCTTTCAATCGAATCTAAACGTGGAAGCCTGCATTTGCCTGCATAACTCAAACCAAGATTCGGGGAAATCACTGACTGTTTCTGTCTTAGTATGTCCACGTTTAGTCTGTTCTTAATCTAGTCGTACTTCAAATAACGGCTTAGTGGGGTAGGACGTGGCACGGTATCAACATATCCAGACCAATCCAGTCAGTGAGGGTTTGCAACTTTTTCAACAACTTTTTATTCTTCATTGGAAACTCTAAGCTTTACCTCTTGATCGCTAATATCGTGGTTCTGAAGCATGATTGATGTCACAAAGGCAATAATAATCAAATGCCTGAAGCCTTGCTATACCATCCCCATTTAGTGGTTGTTTCATAGTCCTCGAGTTGGTTAGGATAAACTAATAAGAAATATACTGGACCCTGAGTATGCAGTCAGGTATCCACCGACACCACAAATAGCCGGATTCGGCAAAAACGATTGGACCTATTGTATTTTTTTCGAGATTTTGTCGACTTCCAAAGTAACATCGTTAAATTTATCATCTCACCTGTAACCAAATGGTGCCTACTGGTACTCCAAACGAACATACTTAGATTTTGAACCTAGTTTTATTTTTCAGTTAGTACAAAGATATTACTTAGCTTCCATTGTTAGAAATCATTCATTTGGTGATGAAATTGATCTGTTGTTACATCTATACAGCGATACTACCACTCAGTAAGTTACATCTCAGATTTTACAAACATATACTAAATATATTGCAACTTTGAAACATGATTTTTATCGTTCTAGTCTTATTCTATGCTGATTCTGAAAATCGACTAGTTTTTCCGAATATTTAGACAAAGTCGTTAGTGTTTCTTATGATGAAAGAAATAAGTGCAACTTACTAGCCATAGATATTAGATTATAAGACGTGTTATATGAGAAATAACGGTACTTCCAAACTCCCTTGACTAGGAAGAGTACAGGTTGTTTTCCCAGTTTGCTTTTTGGTTGAGTCGAATACACAGAATCATAACTGCTGCATTTTTCGGATGTTGTATTATTTTATGTGCATTGAAAACAAATGAAGTGTGATTAAACCTCTAGGATGTTACATTTCTTCTCGTGCATCGGTCTCACTCTGATTTCTGCAATCCAAGTTTATACTGTCGATACTGCTTATGTTTTAAGGTGCTGCAATACATGTGAAGAAGTTCAGTCGGCATATCATGAGATGCAATGGGTGTTCACCAACGCTTCAGCATTCGAACAATGTCGAAATGAAGACTGGGACAACATGAAGCGAAAGATAGGTAGTGAAGGTTGCAGAATTCATGGAAGTCTGACCGTCAATAGAGTTGCTGGAGCCTTCCATATTGCTCCTGGTCATAGCTACACCGAGGAGCATACACATGTGCATAGTATTCAGAGTATCGGACTCGTTCAAGTAAGTTAAAGAGTCTATCATATTAAGCTTTTAGAACCATTTCATTTATTGCATTTTATCGGTTTAACATTTTTTCTTTATCAAAATGAAGCTTCATTAAATAAATATTCACTCATTTAGTGGATTTAATGCTAATTTAAACCACATTTATTAGATCATTTCTTTTAGGAAGTCTTTTATAACTGGTCGTTTAAATTTGTCGGGCTGTTAGTAAAGTTAAAATTGAGGCATTTTATAGCTGTGACGGAGATATAAAAACATGACAGCTCCATATATCTGATCGCTTTGATATATTCGAATAAAGGAAGCGTAACAGGCTTTGTAAAATACAATGATTTTTTATTACCTCTCCATTTCTTGTCATCTACAATCATGTTAAAGCATTAAAGATTTACAAATTAATGAATAAAATACTTCAGCCGTTGGAATTAAAATCTGAGATGCAAAGAAGTGAGTCATGAAGATACAGTAAAGAAAAAAATTAGAAAATGTCGCGATTACCGCTCATGTGTATGTGGGGGAAGAGCTATTGCGTACGCATCAGAAAAAAGCAGATCTGAGTTTTGAAATGAAATTGAGAGATTACATCAACCAATTAAGTGATATAAATACAATTAACCGCATAATATAAAGTTGACAAATCAGCAAGAAAGTAAGTTATGCAGGGAAAAGATCAAGACAGTATCGCAGCAACAAAATCTGATCATGATTACCTTCTCTGAATTTTTATAGTGTAAATAGCTGTGCTGTGATGGGGGTTCGAGGGCGAAATTGTACTACTATCTGAGCAGAGTGTGACACTGATAAGTTGTTTCCCGTGGGCTACCAACAGTCAATGTTGATACTCCCTTCTTTACGAAAAGGGAGGAGGTTCGAAAAGATCGGTTCCCAAAATAGTGCATTTCCCTGCTTTGTGTTGTTGCGATGCTGGCAGTATTGTTTTTTTAGCTGGATTTCATCTGAATTAAAACTGTCTAAGACTTTCAGAAAGACCTATGTGACCAACGTCAAGTGTATGTGTTTTGGGCTATATGGTCACGCGAAAGTAACCTGCTTTATTTTTCAGGTACCTCAGGATAGAGTAACTTTCTATGGTGTGAGCAACTGAGGACTGTTAATCGCCCTCACAACTCTGCCAGCGATCAAATTTTGTCAGATCACTACCAACCTTTCACAGTTTTGCCTTCTTACTCACATCTATCGGTCTATTTTCCTACATCGTCTATAGTTTCTTCCAACTCTGCAACCCTAGATAAAAAATTCGAATCTACGGAACAGTATACCTGGTCTCTTAAAGCCACGCTCCAAACTACACATTACAGCTTTTAATATCCTCATTCTCGGTTAAATCGACCAACAAGCTTCGCTAGACAAAACTCTGGCATTTTGGACCATGAAAGTGTTACGTTTGTGAGATACGCGTGCAGGACCTGTCTGGTTGTCCACTTAGCCTCACTCGACCCATTTGGCGAATCTGTGTAATTCACTCTTCGAGCTTCTGGAGATTCGATAGCTAGGTACTTGCAGTCCTGCAGATGTAAGTGCAGTTAGACCAAAATTGGTAGATTCTAGTCAGATAAGGAATTTAGTAGAAAAGTCGACCATAGCTATGGATGGAATTACACAACCCCACAATAGGATGGGACGGGGAAAATTCTTGAAACTAACGTACTGGGGTGCATGAAGAGATTAATAACTGAATCTCTGTTTAGTTATCTTGATATGACTATGGACGGTAAACTTTGTCCGAAACCCAACCCAGTAAAAAATACTGTTCCACTGTGTGATAGTTAGTAAAACAACACCGTCAGTCGTTCTAAATAGGTCTTGTACCATCTTCAGTCTGCTGTAAAAGCGACGTTAAAGACTAACTAACTCACACAAGATGATAAGAGGGTCATTGGATCCTAACAGCTTCTTCTAAATCTTTGGATGCGCGTAAAATCATTCCTGCAGGCTCTTACGACAATGAGGAGCGGAAGCAACTCAAATGTTGATTGGCGAGAAGCCTATGGAATGACTACGAGATCGTAGGTAGCGACAGCCAGAGTTGTTAAAAGCAGTGGTGGTAATTAACTGTTGATAGTTACTAAGACACTAAGAGCAAGATATTCAGCGAAGAGACTCTTTTCAACGAATTTATTTCCAAGCTGTGCATACATATTTTTATGATATTTGAAAAAGTATATCCTGTGAGGAAATTTAAGCAATAGATAATGGTATTGATAATAAAACTACTTGTGATAACAGTTGAAATATAAATGATAAAGTAGATTACGTAACATAGAATCATTCATAGAGTGTATGTAACTCAGAAAGGTGTGTAACTTTGATGGAAGTGATGAATCAATAAAGTATTATTTAACATGATCAGACAAGTTGATTGAAATAAAGTGATTGTTTTTTGAAAAGACTAAGATAATTAAGTGAAATAACAGCAGAAAGTATTCAACGGTAAGGTAATAGTAGTAACAACAGTAATAGCGATAACGAAGAATTTATTATTATTATTTTATTATTAGTCCCTTGGGTTCCTAGTGGAACATAGGGCTTCAGTAGCACGCCTCCAGTGACCTCTGTTCTCCGAGATCTTTTGAACCTGGTCCCACGACAGCCCAGAAGCTCTCATTTCCTCCTCGCACGACCTCCTCCATGTCACCCTCGGACGTCCAACTCGTCGCTTCCCATGGGGATTCCACTCGAGCAACTGGCCTGACGCGTGATGTCCTCCGTCGGCCTTCTCAGTGCATGGCCAATCCATCTCCACTTCTTCCTGCATATTTGTTGCGTGATTGGTTCTTGGTTGGTTCGTTCCCAGAGTACCTTGTTGCTTATTTTTTCTGGCCATCTGATCTTCAGCAGCGAGCGTAAGCAGTTGTTGATGAATGTCTGTAGTTTATTGGAAATCCCTTTCGTGACGCGCCAAGTCTCTGAGCCATACAAGAGCACTGACTTGACGTTGGTGTTGAAAATCCGTATCTTGTTCCGCATGCTGAGTGCAGAAGATCTCCACACTGGTTTCAGGCTAATGAACGCCTGTCTTGCTGTGTTTCCGATCGTGGCTGGCTTTGATGTCCTCGTCTGTGCCGCCTGTAGTTGAAACAGTGCTTCCTAGATAAGTGAAGGAGGTTACTTCCTTCAAGTTTCTCCCGTTGATGGTGATTGGAGTTTGTTGTTGTTGTTGTTGATGGTGGTGTGGTATCTTCATCACTTCTGTCTTCTCTATATTCACCTGAAGTCCCGTCTTAGCTGCCCTACCTCTTCTATCAACTTGTTAGTTTTTGCCTGCAGATCTTCAAGTTTATGTGACATTAGGCATAAGTCATCGGCGAAATCCAAGTCTTCTAGGTTCTTTTCCGTCGTCCAGTGTATCCCCCTCTTCTCGCTGCCTACTGTTTGCTTCATGATCCAGTCCACCACAATCAGGAATATCATGGGGGATAGTAGGCAACCTTGTTTCACTCCTGTCTTCACTTCAAAGGCATCACTGAGCTTCCCATTGTGAATAACTTGGCATGTGGCATCTTCATATAGTTGTTGAATGAGGCGGATAAAGGTTTGCGGTACTCCGTAGTATTGAAGCAGTTTCCAAATTACTTGTCGGTCGACGCTGTCAAAGGCCTTCTCAAAGTCGATGAAGTTGCGGTAGAGAGCTGATTGCCATTCTATGCTCTGTTCAATGATGATGCTTAGCGTTGTAATTTGGTCTGCACATGATTTGTACTTCCTGAAGCCTGCCTGTTCCGGTCGTAGTTTTGAATCCAGTGCATCCTCAAGCCTCTCCAGGATGATGCGGCTTAATATTTTACTTGGGGTGGACAGGAGAGTGATTCCGCGCCAGTTCTTGCAAACACTGAGGTCTCCCTTCTTCGGGAGTTTGACAAGGTAACCCTTCTTCCAGTTATTGGCCAGGTACCTTCTCTTCCTTCCACACCTTCTGCAATAGTGGTGTGGTGTGAGCATGTCCGCTGTTGTCTCTGCATCTGTTTTTAGTGCTTCTGGCGGAATCCCGTCTGGTGCTGCTGCTTTCCCACATTTCAGTAGCTTTATGGCTTGCTTTCAGGACTTCCATTTTTGTTGGAGGATTTATGTTCACTTGTAGTTCAGCGGCTGCAGGTGGTATTCCTGGACGAAGTGCAGGTGGTGGTGGTGGTGGTGGTCGATTCGAGAGCTTCTTGAAGTGGTCGGCCCATTGTTTCCTTTGTTTCTCTTCTTTCGTAATTAAATTTCCGTCATCATCTTTCGTTGGTTTCATGTGTGTTGATCTCTTCCCAGTTAGTAACCTGGTTATTTGATGTAATGTTGTCAGGTCTCTCTCTGCTACCAGCAGCCTGTTCTGCTTCACTTGCCAGTGTTCCGTAGAAGTGTCTTTTGTCTTTCCGTGCACTCTTCTTCACTTCTTTGTCCAGTGTTTTGTACATTGTGCTCAGTTCCTCATGTCGTTGAGCATCCTTGCACTGGTTTATCTTCTGCTTCACCATCCTCCTCTCCCTGCTCTATCAGCTTCCATGTATCCGTCGAGATCCATTCCTTGTCTTCTTTCTTCTCCCTTCCTAATATGGCTGTGCAGGTTTCTTTCCACATAGCTTTCAAAGACTTCCAATGTTCTTCCACACAGGTTTCTTCAGGGATGTTGCTCGATGTCTCCCATTTTGTCTTGATGACTGCTGTGAAGATTTTCTTTGTAGTTTCATCTTTCAGTTTTAGAGTGTTGTACTTGAATTGAGGTCTATCACCAGCTTCCTTGAAGGCTTTTAACTTGATTTGGAAGGTTCCTTGCACTAGATAGTGGTGTGAACCTACATCTGCTCCTCTTCTTGACCTTGTGTTAAGTAGACTGCGTCTCCATTTTCTTGAGATTGAGATAAAGTCGATTTGATTTTTAGTGTGTCCTGGTGTCTGGTGAAATCCATGTCGCTTTGTGGATATCCTTGTGCTTGAACACACTGCCCCCAATTACCAAATCGTTGAATGCACAGAATTCTGCAAACAATTCTCCATTCTCGTTCATTTCACCTAGCGCTTCTCGACCCATGGTTTGTTCTCTTCCTGTGTTGTCCGCCCTCAGTTTGGCATTCATGTCGCCCAGTAGAATGAATTTTGATATCGCCAACTGAGGCGGTGTCTTGTCCAGTGTTGATTGAAGTTGTCTGTAGAAATCCTCCTTTTTCTCCTGCTCTGCATTATTTGTAGGTGCATAACATTGTATGATTGTAACCTTTCTTCCTTTTGAGTTGAATCTTGCTGTCATGATCCTGCATGGGGAGATTGGTTCCCACTGCATGAGAGCCTTCGATGTTGTTGGGGACATCATGATAGTCACTCCATAACTCAGTGTGCTCGTGGTTGTCGTCTGGGTGACAGTATCGGAGTAGATTATTGATTCTTCAGTTAACAGTTTGGATAGTCCACTCCCATTCCATCTGCTTTCGCAAACTCCTAGCACTTCAGTGTGATACCTTCTCATCTCCTTTGCAATCTGGGCTGCCTTACTGGGTTCAAACATCGTGCGGACATTCCATGTCCCCACGTTTACTTTCGCTTTCATCGAGGGAGAGAAGACACATCGGCCCGCCAATTGGCTTCCCGAAGGCTTTCACCAACTGGCGTCATTTCGCCTCTCTGATTCCAGCGGGGAATAAGTTTGTTTTCATTTTTCATATTTTGTTTGTGCTTTGAAGTTTCTTTAGCGGTTAGATTTGTTTTACGTGGTAGGGTTGCTAGCCCTATGCCCAACCTTCCCTCTTTACCCGGGCTTAGGACCGGCTAGTAGTAACTAGTAAACTAGTTAACCAGGCGAGGTTGATAACGAAGAATACAAAGATTAATTTCACAAAGAGGGAAAACTGGTGATGGGAAAATGTTATGGCTACGGTTTAAACATATTTCTTTCGCAAACAAAACTCAGGCCTCAGTTCATGAATAGCTAAGGCCTTCAGTGTTTTATGAAGTTGAATACGAAGAAAACGTGGGAGGTTTGGGCAAATTTGATAAACTGTCTGGATCTGTTAAGTGATGGAAATCGATCAAATGTTCTAGAAAAGAACTTGTAACAGCCTTTCTTTCACTCTTATAAAACCACGTATACGTGTAGAAAGCACCGAGGAATCACTCTGACGAACTTAGTATCTGATCAGCGGATGCCTAAGTGAAGCTTAGGAACAGCAAACCCAAAAATACCGGGCATTTTTCAGACCTTGTCTTCGGTTGTATCTTCATCTTCCGCCAGATTCTGGGGCGTAGAAGCATAGGCGCCTATTATTTGCTGTATTTCCCTACTTGAAGGCGGTATATGACTTCATCAACCGAGAGGTCTTGTGCTAGTGTCTGTCTCACTGAAATGGTTGCAGGGTAAGTACATCACCCTGTTGAAAGCTCTGTACCCAAACACCTGTTGGTGTATTATGGCCTATCGTGAGGTGTCAGGTGACCTGTGTTGGTCGTGTAATGTCTGTCAAAGATGTCCGCTCTCGTCATTCTTTGACTTTTTAAGGTATGGGCCTATGAACGTCTCCCCTTCTTCAACTGGTTTTACAGGGACTGACCGTATTTCAAGAGACTCCTCTACACCCGTTACACATACTTAGTATGTTCCACAACCGCCATCCCGTCATTTAATAATTTAACCTTGAAACATTGGCTTTCTTGGCTTTAAAATATGTGGTGAATGTCGTCCAACGTCGTCATTTACCGTTCCCAGCGTGATAACCTTGGTCAGAAGAAGTGTAGAGATGAATAGCGTATGATGTGGCTTTCTGGGCTGAGCGATATTTATGTTGAGTTGGCATCTGTTGATGTGTCAAGATTCCTTGGGTAGTCTCGCTGAACCCATCCAGGTAACCTATGCGGCCCAAACCGATGGTTGGGGGTTTCATCAACTGGTGTTCGGTCTTGGTCTGGTTACCTTAATTTTTCTTCCAACCCAATCATACTTTGGTTAACTAAGCACATCGAAATAAATTATCAAAGATAAATCTGTTTACAGGATAACATTTTCAGCGAATTCCTTTTTGTCGCATATCAGTAAGTGTGAATTTTGGCGAAAATCTGTAAATCTTTTCTGTAGGTATTTTCTTGACTCAATGTCTTACTGTGTTTCATCTTTCTTTGACTTCAACAGTTGAGTATTATCATTCGTTTATGCGTTAACTTTGACACTCATTGTGAGGTTTAGACGTATGTAGTTAATGAAAAATTATGGAATGGAACGAATTCATTTCTATGAAGAGAAAAAAAGGTAAATCAGTGAAGAAAAATTTCCTTTTCGACGATGTCATTTCCTAAAGCCCTATTTTTGTTTCTTCAAAGTTCAGTTTAAATTTCTACAGATGAAAGAATGAGTGTGGCAACATGGTCACCACTCGACCCTCTACTGGCTGGCTGCTTTGTCGTAAACATATGGAAAAATGTTTGAACTCGACGTTTGACACCTATCATCTATATATCATATACGGATGATACACTTATCATATCTGACAAAAGTGCAGATACTGAAACCATAGATAGGAAGTTTAACAATTTTCACCATTCGTTCCGATTCATGTTTGGATCCGAGGATAATTTTGAGTTTCATTCCTGGATGTTCTGTTGAAAAGGAGATTAGGTGGTTTGCTTTAAAGAAAGGTGACATGGACTAGGCAGTTCACATCTTTTTTTAGCTGGACGCTATTGAGTAGAAAAAGAAATCTAATCTCATCATTATCACCACGAATCAGAAGAATATGCATAGATGATAGATACAGTAGATGATGCATTGAACAGACTTCGATAGATGCTTATGCAGAATGGATACCCATCCGGGTTTTTTAATCAAAGTGTACAAACATGTCTTTGTTTTTCGTGAAAAGAATAACTAAGAGAACAGATTGAATGTACAGATAAGTTTCAAATCCTTAGTATCTTGTATTATGCTATCGGTGTTATGACCTATGGACTTAACTCTACTGAACTAACCCCTCCATTTTATTGTTAAATTCACTGAAAGGATTTCTCACTTCTTATTGGGTACCTGGTAATAGATCATTGTTAACCTCTAAGACCTGATAGTGGTTGTTCAGCAACAAATTATATCTTGAAAGACGCTATCTAAGCTAGCTATTTTCGAATGGTACATTTCTTCTGAATTTATCCTTAGTTAGACGATATTACTGACTCATTATAAAAATTGCCTTTAGTAAGATTTGTGTCATGAATATATTATAACGATAAGATGCTAATTGATTTTTATACACGACACAGTTTAACGTATCCCATTCAATTGGAACACTTCGTTTCGGTGACTCATATCCTGGTCAAATTAATCCACTTGACAATGCAAAGATGACAATCGAAAAACGTAAGTAATCTACTTATTTTATTTTTACTTTTCCTTTCTTTTTTAAAGTCCAAAATAAACTGAGTACTTCACAGATTTCCGATCCGTGATCTATTTGTAGTTAGGGTTACACTTCTATCAAATGAAGTGCTAGGCTAAGGATTTCAGATAGGAGAGATTGGTTTGAGCTATATTGGGTGATGCAGACTAGCTGGTTGGGGTTCACAGGACAAGAGAAACCAGTAGTTAAAGACTTTAGGTGATATGGCTCAGAACCGATGTCAGTGGCGCAGATGCATATACACATTAACAGCCATACTTAATCTCATTTTCTTATCATTCTTCGTTCTTCCCTTTTACTACTTCTACTTCCTTTGACCGATTTTGCTTTCCTTCCATTTTATTGCCTTGCTACTTGACGCGGTGATATGAAGTGTGGCAACTTGAACCGTTACACAGTAATGCCTAGTCCTATGTTGGTCTTGATGATGATGATGCTTATACGAGAGTTAAACCGCTCGATGAAATCGTAATTCTGCGTTGGTTGAAGCATTTGGTGGCATGCAATGTGTTAGCTAGATTTCTTTTACTGAATGTCACTTAGATTTCATTCTCAGAGTAATATTTTAGCCAAGATAATTATGTAATGTGGGTTAAGAAGAAGACTCAGAAGCGAGTTAGATTTACATAAAGCTACTAAACGTCAGTAATTAGCGATATTAAGCGATTTATCTCCAAATCGGTCTCAAGAACATGTTTGCATTTGTTATGTATTTTCCATGCAAAAGATGAGTTTTCAATGCATCTTTCTACATCCTAACCTTATTCCTTCACTGTCTCCGTAAGTATGTTGCCATCTACTATTTTAACTAGCATGATATAAGTTTACTAACAAGCAGTAACACTGATCACTATTAGGTGAGACCACCTTGCATAAACGTTTGATTCACAGTTGCATCCAGAGTATATGCTGCATTATCTTGTGGTACATCTATTTCGTTAAACGAGGATTAGAGAAGTCAACTTTGGATGAGCATCACACAGCGGTGGAGATAGTTCGAATCTCTATAAAATACTCACTTTTATTGGAGTTTTTCTGCCTATGTTAGTGATTTTGTTACAACAAATAAATTCATATATTGACATGGATATATTGTAGCCACAAATTCGTATGCAATGGTCAACTATCAGAGAAACTGTTTAGCACAATCGATGGAACTAAGGGAAGCTGTTTAACTAGTCTTCAATCATGCATTATCCGTCTGAAATTGTATAAAATAACGAAGTCAGTGTTTTAAACCACAAGATGAGGATAAATATGAAGTCTGAATATGCGAAAAGTCAATTAAAAACTGAGTGTTGTTAAATAGTAGTCATAAATTACCAAGTAAACAGCCTGACCAGTTAATGAATCGCAATTTTTTCCGAATAATCTGAATTGTTCCCTCTAGTTAACAATGAAAATACAGAACATCTATAATGATAAATACAAGAATCATAATCACCTACAGTTCATAAACTTTTAATACCTATAAGAACTGAACCAACTTGAAACCTAATGTAATGGTCAAATTGTTTTCATATTTTAAACACAAACTTGATGCATCATAGGTACCAAAAACTGAAATGAACAAAGTAATATAACGATACCATATAGTGAAAAATAAAAAGAGGTAAAGGAGGAAAAATGAACTGACAGTTCATCTCCAAAGATACATTCAAGAAAGCTCTAATTGCTTTCGTGTTACTTCTCAAAAATAGAAGATATAAGAACACTTCAACACGATCACCACTGATTTCTACTCTGAATCATATCTGACATCGTCCCAAGTTTACCTAGTCGCATAGTCTCTCAGACTCCCCTGGTGGAGTATATATATATATATATATATATATATATATATATATATATATATATATATATATATACTTTCAAAGTACTTTCCGTACTATTCAGTGGTCATCAGCGGGTCCTTGTAGCCATCATAAAAGTTCTTAAAACTTTCTAGATATGAATGCGAATCATTCATTTATTGATGTACAGTTGATAAAGTTACAACCAGAACATTCTGGTCATAACTAGTTTCTTGCATAGCTTCAGTTATAGTGCTAGAGTTGGTGTATATTATGTAAATTTCTAATGCAAAGTTTACACACAATTTGAACGTATCCTGACCAACAATGGACTGGATGGCTTGAAAAAACTTGGGCACCGAGTTAGTATGATTCACTGTATAAGGTGTATTTTTACTTGTATAGTCCCAGCGTAGTATATCAAAACAAATAACAAAATAAACAAATATTTTGTATCATTCCTCAACGTTTCGATCTTGCTAGGAAGATCTTTTACGAGAGAATGAATCTGACATTAAGTTTTCAAGTTAATATTCAAGCTTTATTATAGAAACTGACCCTTACCACCATCCAGTTACATCGTGATATGAAACAAAGATCAATATAATGTAGATGGGTGAATTAGTAAATCGGTCAGAGAGGCTTTTCGCAGTAGTGTAACGACAAGTTTTTATTTTGGTAATATTTCGAGCAAAATTACTGTTCATGATCACACCAACAGTTGGAATATTTTAGCAATATTTATTCACACATTTACCAATAGGGACTAAACGTATAGTCTTTAGAGGTAGTATTCATCATGAACTGACATCAGTTGGGGAACCATTGAAAATCTGGGAGCACTGGACAGCTGTTTCATCCTAGTATGAGATTCCTCGGCAGTACGCACCCACAATCCGGCCAGGGGTCGAACTCGGGACCTGCAGGTTTCACGGAGAATGCGTTAACCATTCAGTCACTGGGTCGGTTCTCAGTGGCTCACAATTTCCAACTTCTGTTAATTCATGATATAGTGCGACTATCACCCAAGCTCTTCAGTTGGCATCCGCTTTACTTCCGACTGGTTGACCCCACAGGTCACGGCTTCTAAAAATCCCATCCATCTCAAAAATACATTACTATATAGTCTTTACTCATTGTTCGTTAGTCTGTTTGTCCAATATAATGTTCCATATGGTATTTTCACAGCATTTAAACTAATGAATTTGATAAAGAATAAATTGGACAAGAACAATGTGGTGTATAAAATACTGTGCGCAGACTGCCTAATAAGCTATGTAGGACAAACATTAAGATCGTTGAAAACCAGACTAAATGATCATGAAAGACTGACCAAAGGTCAACCCATAGAGGGACAACAATTTGAAAAAGAAGTTCATCTGAAGCAGTTCAGTCATGGGACGAAAAATATAATATTGACTGAAACAACACTACCATACTAAAGCCTAACAAAAACAAATGAAAAGAAAGGTTAATAACGGAATCCATATCTGTACATGTCACTCCTTACACAAGAAACAAGGTGAATCAACACAACTGTCAACTACATGGAACACTATGATAATTCTACTAGGTTGTGGCTAGCAGTGGAATTAAGGACGTGCGTTCTGTCCTACTTGGGACTCGTCAGCTGGATGTGCCTGCACCTCACTGGGTGATGTTATTACCGCTGGGACTCGAATCTCGTATCCATCACTCCAAACGCCGAAGCATTATCCACTAGACCACTGAGGCGTGACAATCACCTCTTGTACAACGGATATTAGTTATAACTATTTATTGTATCGGACGAACAGACTAACAAACAATGAGCAAAGACTATACATATAATCCCTACTGGTAAATGTGTGGATAAATATTGCTAAAATATTCCAACTGTCGGTGTGATCATGAGCGGTAATTTTGCTCGAAATATTACCCAAATAAAAACCTTATCATTATGTATAAACTTTGCATTAAAAATTTATTTATAATACAATAATCCATTCTTCAGTGAACAAACTTTTCATTGTCAGAGTTAGACTCAGATGTTTTTCGTCAGTATCGAATTTAATCAACGCTGAATACCAGAGTCACTTCGTCTACTGTTTTGAGAACAGTGTATTACTTACCTATATTACTTATTACTTTATAATACAATATATTACTTATAATCTGAAATTATATCTGCTTGTTGAACTGTGCATGATTGAATCACCACTTTAATGTGCTTACATTAATCTCTGTATAATTTTTTCGATTTTCATAGATTCACAAATGATCTCTTATTATTTGAAGCTGGTACCGACAATGTATTCTAGCGTAAGTAGACAGGTATGTAATTTTATTGTAAAATGATATTAGGCAACATTTAGGAATGTTACAGGTTCTGTTTATCATATATTTTTAAATTTCGAATTTGTTTTTCAGCTTTCTGTAGTTAATTTATATGAACAATGATCAAGATCTGACCGAATGGTATGACAAATATTGGGCGCTGAGTAAAAGGTTGTCATTAGATATAGTTTGTATTTGTGTAAATCACAGTGTCTTTGAAATGAAATGTTGTCAAAGTTTCGCATAGAAGTCTGGCTCTAGCTTCTTCAGAAAAATAAAATTAAAATGTCAAGGATACATAAATGAATCTCTTTGCCCAATCCTCATCGTAAAGCCATTGACTTTCTAAAATATGACAACGAATTATATATATATATATAACCATTCATATTCTCCTTGATTGTAGATATCAAACAAAAAAGGTCACAGTTGACATTCGGTAATTTTATGAGTACAGTGGGACGTATGAGGTGGATATGTATACCATTTCAGTTGGTACATTGGGCTGAATAGTTTTGACGAATCTTTTTCATTGACTTGCCGGAATAGAGTATGTGTGGTAGAAATTGTGGTGGTGATAATTATGATAATAACAATAATAATGTATCAAATCAATCCAGATTGTGCTGTTATTGTTGATTCAGAAATAATAAAGTTGACGGTAAATGCTGGAGTCATTGTTTCTGCCTACTAATTAGTAATTGCCAAGAGGCAGCTTGCTGCACTCCATCTCGTCTGTTCAAACTGTCTAGATTCGCCCATATATGTAGGGCTTTGGCTGTCAATCTTTCTTGGTATGACTCAAAACCTTATTGTAGAATCTTGGCTCCGTCAAAGTCAATTTTGTGTCCCATTTCTAGGGGGTGTAGCGCAATTGCTGATTTGTTTTCCAGCTACTTAACGCTTCTCTACTGAGGTGTTCGGAATCTGCTTTAGACATAATTTATGCTCCTTCACTCTCATATTTACTTGCCTGGCTGTCTCTACTACTAATACTGCAGTACAGCCTGCGCATTTGATTGCATAAACTCAGTTCCCTTGATTTTCTTCAGGTACTACATCTTTAACTTCCATTAAGTCAGAGCGTAGGGTATTTGTTGCTGGAAAGTAAACTTTCGTGTCATGTTTGTTGAGAATCCTTATTTCTTCTGAGGTCTCCTTACAGTGTGGGATTATGACCGTGTTTATCGAGTTCTCTGGAGGAAGTTTCGGTACATCCTTAGTTCCATTTAAAAAAATTCGTTTTACGAAATCTTTGGGATAATTATTTGCTTTTAGTGTGCGGCAAGCTGACATATCTTTATCCTCTTCCTTTATAACAAGACGGTTGGCTCGGCTGATTAGATTCCATGTGACTGTTACTTAAGTGGTCACGGTCTGTGTAGACTGATATTCTGGGTATCTGTCAGAATATGTTGTTATTCTAAAAATCTTAATCTTTAGTTTGTTGTACTACTGTCTTTCCACCATACAGTTAATAAAGGTTAATTTTGACAAGTTGGATTCAACTTCCTCGGTGAAAGTAATACTTCCACACCCACTATTTATAGTTTAGAAAATACAAGATCTCAACTTTTGACGCTTTTAGGCGAACAGTAGGTATATTCATCAAGCAGTAATCAGTGCTTTTGGGGAATAATTAATGAGAAGCACGGAATTCAGTAGCCATATATAGTTTCATTTATTAGTCGATGAGCTAGACCTATCATATAAGGAATGTGATACTATTTGACTAAAAGGAACAGATACAGTCAACCCACTGGATAGAAAGTCGACTGTCTAGTCCAGTGGACCACAGTTCCACTAAATGCATTGCACTGCGTTATCGAAGCGTCTAACTTACTAATAGGTCAGAATAAAAACAGCTAGTAGAACTCTGTTGACAATGAAAACTGGAATTCATGACACCAATTATTCTCCATTGATACATTAGTATTATAAAAACTTATCTATGATCAAAACTCCAACTATTGTGTCCACTTTGGTTTACTACCTATGAACTTCTTTCATCATGTGTGTTGTTATAAACCGTCAAGTATTACTACTAATTAAAAGCTCACTACTTTGTAGGTAGTTTTCAGAGATGATTACTGGGCGAAATCGAAGCTGTCCCAAGTTAAATCTCTCTGGCTTCAGGTTATAAGTGTACTAGCAAAATAGCTTCAGTTTATCGTAGAGAAATTTGTAAGACACTTTTCTTTTAATCATTATATCCTTTCAGATATGGTGGATTCGTTAGGGAAGACTATAACTCAAGTGGAAAGTTGTACTCACGAATCTTGAGTATACTAAGGAAATCACTAATCTTGATAGCTGCAGCTATTCACAAGTAAAAATATTGGTACTGACGGAATATGGTGTGGTGCAAGTGTGCCATTGAACATTGAACAACTAGTAGCACAAAAAACTTCATAAAACTGATATCAATTATTTATAAGATTTCCTTAATCCAGTGAGTGATATATCAAAGTTAAACCAGATAATAAGTAAATAAAGCGAGTATTTTTTTACTCCGGCTGATGATGAATAAATAGGATGAGGTACTTACGTATTACTTAAGTTTTCCTGGAGTAAACTTATAAATGATAGACCATTATTATTATTTTTCCCTTAGGTTCCTAATGGAACATAGGGCTTCAGTAGCACGTCTCCAGTGAACTCTGTTCTCCGAAGTCTGTTGAACCTGGCTCCACGACAGCCCAGAAGCTCTCATTTCCTCCTCGCACCACCTCCTCCATGTCACCCTCGGACGTCCAACTTGTCGCTTCCCATGGGGATTCCACTCGAGCAACTGGCCTGACGCGTGATGTCCCCAGTCGGCCTTCTCAGTGTATGCCCAATCCATCTCCACTTCCTTCTGCATATTTGTTGGGTGATAGGTTCTCGTCCCCAGAGCTCCTTGTTGCTTATTCTTTCTGGCCATCTGATCTTCAGTGTTGAGCCAGCGTAGGCAATTGTTGATGAATGTCTGTAGTTTGTTGGAAATCCCTTTCGTAACACGCCAAGTCTCTGAACCATACAGGAGCACTGACTTGACTGGGTTGGTGTTGAAAATCCGAATCTTGTTCCACATGCTGAGTGCAGTGGAGATCTCCACACTGGTTTCAGGATAATGAACGCCTGTCTTGCTGTGTTTCCGATCGTGGCTGGCTTTGATGTCCTCGTCTGCGCCGCCTGTAGTTGAGACCGTGCTTCCTAGATAAGTGAAGGAGGTTACTTCCTTCAAGTTTCTCCCGTTGATGGTGATTGGAGTTTGTTGTTGTTGTTGATGGTGGTGGTGTGGTATCTTCATCACTTCTGTCTTCTCTATATTCACTTGAAGTCCCGTCTTCTTTCGCTGCCCTGCCCCTTCTGTCAACTTGTTAGTTTTCACCTGTAGATCTTCAAGTTTGTGTGACATGAGACACAAGTCATCGGCGAAATCCATATCTTCTAGGTTCTTCTCCGCAGTCCAGCATATCTCCACCTTCTTCCTCCCCACTGTTTGCTGCATGATCCAGTCGACCACAATCAGGAATATCATGGGGGATAGTAGGCAACCTTGTTTCACTCCTGTCTTCACTTCACTTCAGTGGCATCACTGAGCTTCCCACTGTGAATTGCTTGGCTGGCATGTGGCGTCTTCATATAGTTGTTGAATGAGGCTGATAAAAGTTTGCGGTATTACGTAGTATTGGAGCAGTTTCCAAATCACCTCTGGGTCGACGCTGTCAAAGGCCTTCTCAAAGTCAATGAAGTTGAGGTGAGGTAGAGAGTTGACTGCCATTCTTTACTCTGTTCAATGATGATGCTTAGCGTTGCAATTTGGTCTGCACATGATTTGTACTTCCTGAATCCAGCCAGCCAGCCAGCCTGTTCCGGTCGTAGTTTTGAATCCAGTGCATCCTCAAGCCTCTCCAGGATGATGCTGCATAGTATTTTGCTTGCATTGTGTGGACAGGAGAGTGATTCCGCGCCAGTTCTTGCAAACACTGAGGTCTCCCTTCTTCGGGAGTTTGACAAGGTAACCCTTCTTCCAGTTATTGGCCAGGTACCTTCTCTTCCTTCCACACCTTCTGCAATAGTGGTGTGGTGTGAGCATGTCCGCTGTTGTCTCTGCATCTGTTTTTAGTGCTTCTGGCGGAATCCCGTCTGGTGCTGCTGCTTTCCCACATTTCAGTAGCTTTATGGCTTGCTTTCAGGACTTCCATTTTTGTTGGAGGATTTATGTTCACTTGTAGTTCAGCGGCTGCAGGTGGTATTCCTGGACGAAGTGCAGGTGGTGGTGGTGGTGGTGGTCGATTCGAGAGCTTCTTGAAGTGGTCGGCCCATTGTTTCCTTTGTTTCTCTTCTTTCGTAATTAAATTTCCGTCATCATCTTTCGTTGGTTTCATGTGTGTTGATCTCTTCCCAGTTAGTAACCTGGTTATTTGATGTAATGTTGTCAGGTCTCTCTCTGCTACCAGCAGCCTGTTCTGCTTCACTTGCCAGTGTTCCGTAGAAGTGTCTTTTGTCTTTCCGTGCACTCTTCTTCACTTCTTTGTCCAGTGTTTTGTACATTGTGCTCAGTTCCTCATGTCGTTGAGCATCCTTGCACTGGTTTATCTTCTGCTTCACCATCCTCCTCTCCCTGCTCTATCAGCTTCCATGTATCCGTCGAGATCCATTCCTTGTCTTCTTCCTTCTCCCTTCCTAATATGGCTGTGCAGGTTTCTTTCCACATAGCTTTCAAAGACTTCCAATGTTCTTCCACACAGGTTTCTTCAGGATGTTGCTCGATGTCTCCCATTTTGTCTTGATGACTGCTGTGAAGATTTTCTTTGTAGTTTCATCTTTCAGTTTTAGAGTGTTTTACTTGAACTGTGGTCTATCACCAGCTTCCTTGAAGGCTTTCAACTTGATTTTGAAGTTAGATTCCTTGCACTAGATAGTGGTGTGAACCTACATCTGCTCCTCTTCTTGACCTTGTGTTAAGTAGACTGCGTCTCCATTTTCTTGAGATTGAGATAAAGTCGATTTGATTTTTAGTGTGTCCTGGTGTCTGATGAAATCCATGTCGCTTTGTGGATATCCTTGTGCTTGAACACACTGCCCCCAATTACCAAATCGTTGAATGCACAGAATTCTGCAAACAATTCTCCATTCTCGTTCATTTCACCTAGCGCTTCTCGACCCATGGTTAGTTCTCTTCCTATGTTGTCCACCCTCAGTTTGGCATTCATGTCGCCCAGTAGAATGAATTTTGATATCGCCAACTGAGGCGGTGTCTTGTCCAGTGTTGATTGAAGTTGTGTGTAGAATTCCTCCTTCTTCTCTTCATCTGCACTATTTGTAGGTGCATAGCATGGCATTGTACGACTGTGGCTTTCCTTTCTTTTGAGTTGAACCTTGCTGTCATGATACTGCAGGAGGAGATTGGTTCCCACTGCATGAGAGCCTTCGATGTTGTTGGGGACAGCATGATAGCCACTTCATTACTCAGTGTGCTGGTGGTTGTCGTCTGGGTGACTGGAGTAGATTATTGATTCTCCAGTTGACAGTTTGGAGAGTCCACTCGCATTCCATCTGCTTTCGCAAACTCCTAGCACTTCGATGTGATACCTTCTCATCTCTTTTTCAATCTGGGGTTGCCTTGCTGGGTTCAAACATGGTGCGGACATTCCATGTCCCCACGTTTACTTTCGCTGTCGTCGAGAGGAGAGAAGACACATCGGCCGACTGGCTTCCTGAAGTCTTTCACCAACTGGCGTCATTTCGCCTCTCCGATTCCAGAGAGGAATAATTTTGTTTTCATTTTTTATATATCGTTTGTGCTATGAAGTTTGCTTAGCGGTTAGATTTGTTTTCCGGGGTTGGGTTGGTAGATGTATGCTTAACCTTCCCTCTTTACCCGGTCTTAGGACCGACTAGTAACTAGTGAACTAGTTAACCAGGAGAGGACCATACAGATTTTTATTCATTCCTTCAATTTTATATTTCGCAATGAGTAAAAAAGGTTGTTTCCAGCAAAATAATGAATACCCAGTGCCCAAATTTCGGTTTTGATGTCTATAAGTGGAGAGTGTTAGTTTAAGAAGCCGAATTCAGAGTCCCATGTAAATTTAAACATTTTTATTATAGTCGCTGAAGAATATGTTGTTTAGTAGTTACGCATACCCATTTGTGTAATGTAACTGCATTAGGTTCAAGCTCGAAAAAGGTTAGGGGCGATCAGACTAAAATATAGCATCAGTCCATGAAATCTTTCACTGTTGGTTTCAACTGTATATGAAACTGTAGACTTCGCGATTAGCATGCACGTGATAACCGAAGTCGATGTTTGGAGGCTCTAAAATGATATGGCTGAGAATCAATCTCACCAAAGTAGATGCATCGACACATTATCTCCACCTTTATCGTTATACTGAACTTCATTATTGTTACAGTGTTTTTTGCTCTCTTCTCACAATTTCCCACCACTTTTGACTACTTCCTTCGTTATTTCTTTGTCTTTCATATTTGTCCCCTCTGTTTTGATCTATTGATGTTGAATTTGACGACATGAAATGTTACGCAGCAATGCGAAATTCCAAGTTAATAGTGACTGACTAACTTAGTAGATGAAGACCGAATTTTTGAGAAGCAATATTTCCCATGGGGATATAGAACATTATCATTTTGATTATTTGAGATAGCCGTAGTTTAGCAGACTAGTATTTATACTGGGTGATGATTGAAGGTGAAATGAGTACTTGGACCGCTGCCGAACTTGAATAGGTGGTCTCTGGTTTGAATCACGTAGTTATCTGTTTAGATGATATCTCATCTCATCGTAATAACCGATCCAAATGACCTCATTCGCAAAGCCTCCATGATGCAGGTGGAAATTGTATGATAAATTCAGTGACTCATTCTACTTTACGTCGATGTGATCAATAAAACTTGATACTACTGCTGCTGATTGGTGCGATTTGCGTCTAACCACTTATTTAAGTCAGTAGGTTAGTTCACTTTGACACTTTTGAAACCAAGATACCAGTTGGTCAGTTTCCAGTTAGCGTTCGGATAATATCATCATACTTCTGCAATGGATAGTCATTTAACTATGAAAAATGCTGATTCACACAGTATACAGTTAGTTAATAACTTTGTAATCTCATGCATTGTTTTGTCCTTACTCATGTCATCTTTTTGTTTGGATTTAGGAAGGCATTCTATTAACTAATCAGTACTCCGCTACCTGGCATTCTAAAGGTACTCCCCTATCTGGGGATGGTCAAGGGTTACCTGGTGTATTTTTCAACTATGAAATTGCTCCTTTACTTGTGAAAATTACTGAAGAACACAAGTAAGTGTACCAGAATTTATTATTATTATTTTTCCCTTCGGTTCCTAGTGGAATATACGGCTTCAGTAGCACGCCTCCATTTCTCTCTCTTCTCAGCAGTCTTTTGTACCTGGCACCACGACTGTCCATAAGCTTTTATTTCTTCCTCAAATTATCTCCTCCATGTCACTCTCGCTTCGGACGCCCAACTCGTCGTTTCCTCTCTGGGTTCCACTCGAGTACCTGGTCTGGCGCGTGATGTCTCCCAATCGGTCTTCTCAGTCTATGTCCAATCCAATGCCATCCATCTCCACTTTATTCAGCTGCATATTTGTTGGGCGATGGGTTCTCGGTTGGTTCGTTGCCAACCAGCCAGAGTTCCTTATTGATTATTCTTATTATTCTGGCCATCTGATGTTCAGTATCAGTATCGAGCGTAGGCAGCTGTTGACGAATGTCTGTAGTTTGTTGGAAATCCCTTTCGTAACAAACCAAGTCTCTGAGGCACTGACTTGACTGACATTAGTGTTGAAAATCCCGATCTTATTCACGCTTTATGCTGGGTGCAGTAGATCTCCACACTGATTTCAGGTTAGTGCAGGAAGGCCTGTTTTGCTGTCTTTCCAATCCTGGCTGCTTTGACACCCTCTTATGGTACTTGTTGTTGTTGATTGGGTATCTTCATCACCTCTGTCTTCTCTACGTTCACCTGGAGGAAGTCCTGTCTTCCTTCGCTGCCTCGCCTCTTCTGTCAACAACTTGTTAGTTTTTGCCCGTACATCTTCCAGTTTGTGCGTCATTAAACATAAATCATCATCGGCGGTGAAATCCAAATCTTCTAGGCTCTTTTCATCGATCCAGCCAGTGTATGCCCACCTTCTCCCTCCTCACTGTTTGCTGCATGATTCAGTCCACCACAATCAGGAAAATCATCGGTGATAGTAGGCGGCAGCTTTGTCTTACTCCTGTCCACTGTCTTCATTTCAAAGGTGTCACTGAGCTTTCCATTGTGAATCACTTGGCATGTGGCGTCGTCATATAGCTGCTAAATGAGGTTGATAAAGGTTTGTGGCACTGAAACTGTAGTGTTGAAGCAGCTGTCAAATTACTTCTCGATTGACGCTGTCGAAGACCTTTTCAAAGTTGATGAAGTTGAGGTAGAGAGTTGACTACCATTCTTTACTCTGTTCTATACCAGAATTAATAGTGAAATAATATCATATGCACAAGACGTTTTGTATTCCGTGAACTCGTCTACTTAATTGTCCAAGGTTGAGTTATGTTTCATAAATGAATCTCAGACAGTATATTTTTTTAGTATATATTGGCGGTTTAAGACAGGCTTGGTTGGCTATATGTCTAAAGAAGGTACTTATCAGTGCCCAGCTGTAATGTTTATTAGATTGTTCAGTATTCTGTAAATACCTGGCAAGGACGGGTTTTTCAGTTTGGGAGTTTATAAGAACTTTTTGGTATCAAGTTGGTGTTCATCATGGACTGAAATCAGTTGCAGAATTATTTAAAAACTAGGTGGGAACGTTGGACAGCTGTTTCTTCCTGGCATGCGACTCCTCAGCAGTACGCACCCATGACCCCACCAAGGATCTCATTCAAGAAGTGCACACTGCTGAGGAGTCTCATACTAGGAAAAAACAGCTGTCCACTGCTCCTGGTTTTTCAATTGTACATGATTGTTTTTTGCATTTGAAAGAGTACAGCTATTGGGCGAACGATAATATTAACGAATGGAAGAAAATGAAATCAGGAATCTCAGACAAATATTATTAGCTCTACTATTTTATTTATTCTAAAAGGCATTCCACTTAAAACATTTATGGTTCAACTTAAGAGCTTGAGTTTGAAATTCTACTTTTCAAGGTGTCAGCAGCGAAGTCACCTTTTAAGTTAAGATTCAAAATGGGTATCTCTCTTTGTAATTTGAGTCTTATATTTTTGTCTAAAAATTGTACTAGATATCCGTTTTCAGCCAGAACCCTTTTGAGAAACGTCAGTTTTTCTTCTAAGCTGTCAGTGTTGCACATTATTCGAATACAGTGGTCAAATGATACGATAAGTGTTCTTTTTCCTACTTATTCGTACCCAACTTTGGAAATTCACCAGCTGATCACTCTATACAGATTTCATGTAGATAACGTCATCAATGTCCTATCATCTCGTCTGATGAATTCTGCATCCAAAAATGAAAGATTTGATTACCTTTTTACTTGAATTTTATTGAGAGATGACAATTGTTAAATACTTGCAACTCATAATTTGAATCAGAATGTCATCATGATAAGTTATGAAGATATCGTCATCATTCTACAGATTGGAGATAAAACAATCTGTCAATATCGAATAATAGATAACATTTCACTGGGGGACCAAAGATTTTTTGAAAGAATTAGCTGGCTGCATTATTATGCTTACTTTAATGATAAATCTTAGGTTGACTTTCTAAAAGATCAAGAAAACGCACTGTTTATTATTCTCAAGCCAAGCATGAACTTTAATGATTAACGTATCCAACCTTCAATCACTGATAGTTTTTCAATCCTTCAATAACTTTTTATGTAGTTCCTTTGTCATACTATTACCATGATTCGTCTACTAGTAAAAGTTTGTCATAAATTTCTCAAAACTATCAACTTGATTACTTTTTTATCGATTTGATATACAAATATTCTCATTTATTTTAAATGTGTTATACAAGGGTTATTTTTAGTTCATCGTAATTTCACCTTACATACTTCCACTGTTATTCTTTATCCTAGGTCATTTGTACATTTCTTAACAAATACATGTGCAATCATTGGTGGAGTGTTTACAGGTATATTTTATATTTTATCTATCTTTTCATTGTTTCATTTTATTAATTACTATTATTTTGAGGTAGTAATCATCACGGACTGACATCAGTTGGAGAACCACTGAAGATCTGGGTGCACTTGACAACCGTTTCGTCCTAGTATGTGCACCCACGACCCGGCTAGGGATCGAACTCAGGACCTTCAGGTTTCACAGCTAACGCGTTAACCATTCAGTCACTGGGTTGGAGTTCAATGGTTCACAATTCCCAACTTCCGTCAATTCATGATATACTACGACTATCAACTAAGATATTCAGTTGGCATCCTCTCCCCTTCCGACTGGTTGATCCCATGTATCACGACATTTCACTAAAACTTCATGATATCGATCTAGAAGCATGTCACTAATGACCACTATACAGCAACGTATACTAGGACGAAACAGCTGTCCGGTGCCCCCAGGTCTTCAATGGTTCCTCAACTGATGTCAGTCCGTGGTGAACAGTACCTCAATATTATTATTATTTAGATGGCTGCTGCTAATATTCATTTGGATGAGGCTACTGAAAACGAGGAAAGTGTCAGCTGATAAATTATCATGCTGTTTTCTATGTTGTCGTACCTCTCCGTGTATTTTTGAAAAACTTGTTTTAGAAATGTACATGTAAGGTGTCTCAATTTTTCACCACCACATTCATACAAGAAGAAATAATGTTTTAGATGGCTGGAGATGATCGATGGGAAGCCTTGGACCCTAGTTTTCATGATTATCTGTACTCTGCAACTTTAGGGGAACTGGCGCCCCTCTCCCCCATAACTTCAAATCCATACTAACCAGGCGTAAAAAGCTTCCGTGATATTGTCTCCTATCTTGATGACCATATTACAAAGTGATCAGTAGAATTCAATCAGTAATTAAGACTAGACAATATGAAGCCGATTACTCTTCATTGGCTAGTCGACAGCTATTAAATGTATCCACCTGTCAACTGTATACTGTAGATCTCAAAGTGGTGTAAACTGCCATTGTCTTACGGAGGGCATAAATAAATATTTTCTAGCACTTAACGTACGCAGATTGTTGGAAGATACTATCAGCTGTATGTTTTGTGTTAAAGATAATAGCGCTACATAAACAACTATAACTCGTAAAGTGGAACGAGTTTGTGATTTGTGACCATCTGGTTAAAAGTCAATTATCTAAACTGGCGAGTTTGGAACACAATCTTGTTTTTCTGTGTGTATCTCAAGTACTGTTCTTTAAGAATTAGTCTTTACGTCTTCACTAAAACATTTCTTACCATTAGCATCATATAGAACTTGGTATATAACTGCTGAAAAGCAATAGAGATGTATTTAATTTGCTTAAGCACTTTACTTTCAACCACCATGTCGTAAATTTCAAACCCAGCTCTGTCTACTTCATCTTGGAAAACTGAGTAGTAGTATCTCACAGGGGATATAAATTCTGTCGAGGTTGCAGATACGCCTTACTGATGAGTGCCAAAAAGCGCGAAACCTAGGTCCAGGGTTTCCCGCCAACTTCCTTCAAACAACCAACATCCATCAAAATGCAGCACGATGGTGATCCTCCTAGTTTCCCCGGTTACATTGCAGAATGATCGATATAATTCGGTCAGTACTCAATACTAGACAACATGAGATCATTTGCTCTTCAGTGACCAATAAATGCAAGTATCATAAACCCTCGAACTGTTGGTGTGGATCGTAGCTGAGTACATAAATACATATCTTGGATTGAATTGCACTATTGTAGTGCATTGTCAAACAGTAGAGACTAAAGTATGGTAATAATCATCAGCCGTAGTGTAGTTCATTCAAGTTATCTTATACAAGCTATCGATGATTGGTTTAACCATTCGACTATGAACAAATAAAACTCAGATTCACTCTTCGTACTTCGATTAAATCGATAGGGTAGTATTACAAGTCCTGTTACTTGATGTACTAATATGAAGTGTAACTTCGACCGTTACGCTGTAATTCCTGGTCCTATGTTCTTGATGATGACGATGATTGTAAGTCTTCATACACTATGCATGGTAAATATTTTGTTTAGGTATCCTACAAACAGACCTTTGTTGTAATTAGATGCCTATGTTAAGAGAGAGAAAAAGTATGAGTTGTTTGGACACTTTAGAATACGTCTCAGTCATATGTATGGACAAACGCAGACATTGCGTTTTACTGTTGAATGAATAACTTTAATTGTTTAATCTTGTGATAAAATTGTCTCCGATTTTATCCAATAGATAAATAAACCGAATCAAATTTTACACAGATTAGTCGAAATTTTTGCAAACATACTCACCTTTTTATGAGAATTATGTATTGTTTTAATATCCTAGTTTACAAAGGTTTTATGCGTTATGATTTTCTTTTTCTGCACTAAATTTAGTGGCAAGTCTTCTGGATGCATTCATTTACCAGTCCTCATGTGTAATACGTAACCGTTTCAATAAAACTTAACTGTAACTTATTCACTATAGATAAGAAATTGTTGTGTACACAAACTTTATCAATTTTTTGATCGTTGTTACCTATTCCTTTATTGTTTTACTAACTGTACTTGTCTTTCATTTTCTTTCATTAGTGTATCGTAGGTTGGATTATTTTGACTTTGGTTTTGTCTATACACTGAAGGATTCCCTAAGTCTTTCCATTTTGCCTTTACCTACAGCACCTACTTTTTCCTTCTTATACATACGTATACAAATGTAGTTGAATTACATAGAGGACACTTGTAAACTCCTTAAACGTGAACAAGTCTTACTGTTTTACAAAGACTTAGTAAACGTTTTCATCATTAAGTTCTTACTTTAAAACGTTGTAGTCAGTGTTTAATAACTAGAAATAAATAAATCTGCGCCTCGGTTGGTTAAGTAATATCCAGTTGTCGATTCTTACTTTCTAAAATGTTTCACCTGTTAACTTATCACATGGCTAAAGGTATATACTACTCCTGTACTATTCATGTTTTCTTCAATAAGTACAGAATTTCGAAGGTAAATTCACGCGTTGTTTCAGAATTTTTCCTTTTGATTGATCCATATGTGTATGTTTAAACCAGAAATATCCGAGAGAGGGAGAGAGATGTCTATGAATAACATATGTTTACTTTGTCTAATATGCATAAAAAACTTAGCTTACTGAGTGGTCGTCAAGTTAGTATCATCCTTTTATAACATCCTACACAGCCTAACAAAATACTCAATTCGCTGGAATGATGGAATTTTCAACGTTTATATCCCCTAGTCTAATGAGAAGTGCACTTCTGTTGATATTCATATATGTTATCCCGCTAGATAGTTCTGTAAGAACGAGAATATAGTTGTTTGATGTTCTCCAAGCTTTGATATTTGTTCTTACATGTTTCGTCAGTCCTTACTTCGTAAAAAGGATATCTACGAATAACACTCATTGACTGTAGTTTAAACATAAAAAAGTGTGCTCTACTTAAAGCTATTAAACCTTGAAGCACCTAAAGAAATAGGGATAAAAGTATTTTCTCAATCACTGATTACTATTCTGATAGTAGTGATGTATGTAAACTCAGCAATAATATGGAGGTTCATATAGTACTTAGTGAGATACACTTATTATGGACAGCTTCAATACTCCCTTGGGTAGACGGGAAGGATTTGAATTTGTGACCTGCTGGTTGGCAGTCACCTATCTACACCAATCTGCCACTGCTTCTGATCAGTACTGAATTCAGTATATGTAGGGAACTATTACTGTTCTATCTCTAAAGCATATGTTAGGATATCAAAAATGCATTAGTTCACATAAGGCCAAATTGAAAAATTACACGGTGGTCATTTCAAAAATAAGCGTATTTAAAGAAAGGCTAGTTAGAAGTAAAAGTGATAATCATTCTAATGGAACCTGATCCCAGATTCAGTGTGCTTTGGAGATAGTGGTGTAGACGATAAGTGGAGGCTATTGGATCTTAACAACCTTTTTCGATCTAACTAGTTCATGAAGGCTTATTTCCCTCTCAGAAAAATGTATACAACTTGAAATGATTAAAAATTTGGGAAGCAAAAACTATAGAAATTGAAAAATCAGATGTTAATTACAATGGTCTCACATTATTATCAAGAGGACTAACAAACGTTATTTAGTAAGACTATTACTTAGACGAAAACGTGAGTAATTAGATTTTAGAGTAGAACACTGAAAAATTTTACTGGCAAACGAAACACTAGAGGTGGTAATTATTCAGATAGCCTGAAATAGATATTAATATCTACCTCTCAACTTGTGACCAAAACTTATAAGGCTGTGGTAGATGTAAAGCCTTGAAAATTAACGGGTTCTGTCTGATCTTCTGTCTCCAAGTTTTTCAGTGGTTTTGGTAACAAATTACTCGTTTGGTCTTGAATGCCAAATGTACAACCTTCCAACTTACGTTGATAATTGATTGTATGAGATTACACCAGATAACTAATCATGGAGTTAGCTTTATGAGTATAACTCCTGATATTCTTTGCGAAAAATCAGTTCTGGTGCAATAGGTATGATGTTACTGACAGGTTATTTGATAAACACCACACTGTTATATGATGATCCATTGATAGTTGTCATTATAATTTGAAAACGGTAAATTTTATTCTCCAAGAATTTAAAGGTAATAAAGCGACTAAGTAATTCAGCGTGTAAACTTTTTAACAATTTCTGCACAATCGTGAAAGTGTACACTTTCGTTTATTAAGCATATTTCATGTGTTTAATATATACAAATTACGTAGAAATAATAAGATTGCTGAAAGTGGGGAATATTAATCAAAATTTACTAGGAATTGTATAGAGATGAAAAAGTTTGGATGAGGATTCGCGTAACGTGTTTAAATACCAAAAGAAAGATTAGTTATCATGAATAGCATGGAAATAGGGAAGAGGTAATGCTATTACGTTAAAGGTGAGTGAAATAAAATAAGAGGTAATTTGAAACATTGAACTTTAAGAAAAATGAAAGAAAAAAACAGTGAATAAGTTTGCATTCAAAACTAAAAGTATTCACCGTCATAATTCTTTCCTATCTCTATCATGGATTTAATAATGAAAATGGCTGTAATTTAAAGATCCCTATATATTATTCAGAAGAGGAAGAATTCTAGCGAGCAGTTGGTTTCAATAACTTCTTCGGGTTCAACAGTTATAAATCCATGAGAATAGGTGAAATACAATAACCAAAGTAAGGCACAACGTCAAGTTATTTTCATATCAAAACAGTCAGTGCTATGGGGAAATGAAGATCAAATCTAATGGATGTCATTTATAATTAGATGTTGCTTGTATTCATCATTCATGTATAATTCAAATACAGACCATATCCAGGTATCGTTGTAGTAGCCAATAGAGACCAATCAATTCGATCCACTGAACGATGGGATAATACAAGCAACAGCATTAAGACTATACCCGTCGCACAAGAAGTTACTATCGTAACTCGATGGTCTGGTAAACAACGCTCTGGCGTTTGAGGCGATTGGTTTGGAGTCCGAATTCTAGTGGGGACAAAATCGCTCACCGGGAGACAAGTCCATCCGGTAGACGAGACGCGCGTCGTTGACCCCACTGCTAGCCACTTCGTCATTAATATGGAATAGTAATCAGTCTAGTGTGTAAGTTGTGCATTGAAATCAATGTGGGCAGAACAATTACTACATAGAGAGACAAAATCTAGAGATAATGATTCATTTATATACATCTGTCTGGGGTGTGTATTTGTGTCTGTTTCCTAAGAGTCGAATAATCATGTAGCAATGAATTATATTCAAGTAGGGTGATGATTCATATGAATACAATAAAGAAATAACGAATACAAATGTGATGTTACGTAACGGTTGAAATGGCTACTAGTAATGATGTGAATAAACAAATGCACAAAAATAATTCGACAAGAAAATGAATGTTTATCAATGTAATGACAGATACAATCTACAAGAAAGGTGTAGGAGGTTAGAATATGAAATTTGTGTTAGGAAAGTTCATAAAAAAAGTGTTGACCCTACTATGAACCAAGATAGACAAAGTGGGTGTATATGTTCTTTTTTAAAAACAGATCAGGTTTTTATGCGTAGATATCTATAGCTTCAGCTATCCATAATCGTGGTCGTCTGAAGAGATTGCAAGAGACATGATATATATCACAGAAAAAGCTTGATCTGAAGGCGTGCATACTTATCTTTAGCTTTCCTTCTCAAAAATTATCGCTAACTTCTCATCAAAACAGTCCATCTTCACACGCTGAAATAGTTTAATGAACAGAAAATGAGTTGAATTGAAGCTTTTTGCTGAACATCTCAATGTAAGTGCTTGAGATGTGAAAGTTTTCGTAATTTTATTGATTAGTCACTGGATAGTAACCACTTTCATGTTGTTGTTGTTGAGCCCTAACCAAATCCGGTCGTAATTCTCCACTGAATAACTCACGTCACCATTTGTTGCCAAAACTACCAAATATCCACTCGTTCCTTATCTCAGCTTCGAAATCATCTTTCGTGATTAATAATATGTGAATATTACTCTGGATTTGATTGATTTGGTAAACTTTTACTGGGACTCAATAAACTGCATTTACAGTATATAAATCATTTAGGTGAGTTCAACTCATCGATTGAAACTGAAATACTAACCATAAATTAAAAACCCTACCACCAATTGTTACAATAAAAATAAATGCTAAGAACACTAATCGACAGATATACACCAATGTGTAACAAATAACCGATGACTGCTCAGGTATTCCATTTAAGATATTATCAAAGTTAAAGCAAGTCACGATGAAGCAAACATGATCGCGTGTTGTGTATCATCCCTTGCAGACTGAACTCGTGTGAAAGTCACTGAATTACCAGGTATTTTTAAAGGGCAAAATGTAGGTAAGAGTGCATGATCAGTGGAACTGTCACTCTAGCAGTGAATTACTTGTAAATATAATAAAGAAAAGCAACTGAAAAAGTGCAAATTTACCGATGATTTTAATTCGATCAAACTATCCTAACTGAATAAACTGTCAGAGTGATCTGTATTTTGTACGTTTATATAAGGTATCAAGAACTTATTGGCAGTAAGATCAACCTATATAACATGCACCCAACTAGCCGTCCATCGGTCTAATAAGAAAGTTTCTGACGAGAACTGTCTCATTTATCGGCCGTAACGCAGGAAATTCAATTTGCCTGGTCTTATTACTGCTGTTCGATAACGTATTTTTCATATTTATTTATCAGTTTAAGGACCGTAGTTGTTCAAGGGATCATTAACGACAACATTGTTTCCTTCAGAGCTATTACTCGATCAGCACTAATCGACAGTTTAGCTTAATTAGAAGTGAATTTTTCATTAATATTGTAGGAGGAGGTAATAAAATATAATGCCAAAAAAAAATTACTTATGACAATTGGTAAAACGTTTACGACCTATAAGGATGCTTTTATCAAATGAGATGAAAACAAGCAACACTGCGGATAGCAACGGGCTTTGAAGCGAACAACTTTATGTCAAATGACTCTACTTGAAATTATGAACACGAACTATAGGTTATTACAGGGGAAAAAAGGATTACTAACAGTCTTTTCCTTCTTCCAACGTGTATCATAATACTGGAGGAATTACTTCACAAGAAACTTCGTTATATGATCTCTATGATGACAGTTTAGTTTCTCTGAATAGTTTCGAAATTCTCCTTCAGGATCGATGTAACTCTACTAAGAAAAGTGATGCTGGTGTGCTACCTTCATCAATACTGACTGCTGCATTTCGGGTCACATATCCTTCAAATCCTCAAATGACTACATCACTGTAAAATGCCGCACAAAATATTTGGACAAATATCACCTTATTTATACCACAAATATTTGCGTGACACCCGGTAGTAGTTACTCCGAATTAACTAGTTTCTCTGATGTATTCCCAGCTCCAATACTCTATGCTTCCCTGTAGATAATATTTGGTGATTTTAATTCTTGTGACCACAGATTTTTCACAACACTCGGTCATCGATATCTTGTTAACTTCATGATGCAACACTGGAATTCGTTTTCATCAATGATACTGATATCTATGAAACTCGAAAGGGAGCCCCACTGCCCAGCCCAAATCACTGAATTGCACCATGTGTGTTTTACCCAAGATATATGGCAAACTATACAAAGCACCCCTGACATAAGAAAACCGTAAATAGAAACCATTCACATAGCAACATACCTAATCCAAGAGAAATGCTACAATGTACAGAGTGGAACATATTTGAAAACAATGCTTTGAAAGACACTATTGATGGTGGGACATTCTACCTCAAGTTTTGCCTGGATATCTGCCTCCACAGTGAAAAGTCT